TGCTCCACCTGCTCTGATGTAATGTCTGTGTCATGGATAAAGTATGTGGACCAGATGAGTGCAAACAGACAAAGACAGAATGCAGCTTTAATGCTTTCTGTCAAACAGGGCAGTGAAAGCACCGTGTGTCATTTTAAGGATTACCTTTATGGTCTCATTAGCAACCATTACCTGGAACCACTACATCTCTTTCAGCTCGCTGAGGTCACAGCGGGGACGGAGTCCTGCCCCCAGCCCAAACCAGTCTGTCCATCTTATTACCATGAGCAGAGCTGGGAACCACTGAAACCACAGCCAGTCATCCCAGCAGGTTCAATCTGAGGTCAAACCGTGCTGCGTTCAGAGAAAGGAAACAATGACCCTGCAGTTGACCCTGTTTAACATTTTATTCATTCCTTTAGCTTTTTATGCAGAGATGAAGGATCATCATAGAGGGAGAAAGGTGGTTCCATCCTGGTACTGGTGGTTGGTTTCCTGCAGAGCTGAGACAGGTTGACCTGCACCTCCATGGCAGGGGGTTAAAGGATAAAGGACCTTCATTCTGAACCTTCCTTATGGTTAGGGGTATAACTCCACTGTTAAAGTGAAACCAGTGAAACCAGAGGCTACGTCTGAGGCTACGCCCCATGGTTTAGAAGCTACTGAACTGTGGATGTAGCCTCACACAGATCCCACTGACATTTATTAAATAAACTGTATCTCCAATTTATTTCGGGGGGTGCATGGGGTGCTGTTAGTAAAGTCAAGCAATGAAAAAGTAGGAGAAATATCTATGTTTATTTAGCGTCTTTTAAGAGGAAAATAAGGTTTTTCCTTTTTCCAAGTCATTTTTTTCACCATGCCATTCATTCCTTCATAAAAATCAAAGATTCAAATTAAATATTTAGATTATAAGTTAAAAAAAATTTCAGCTAGCTAAATATTTATTTTCTAAGCCAAATATGCATTATTTTAATTAAATATTTGTTTTCCAAACTAAATATTTTGTTTGTTAAAGAAATAATTAGCTCCGAACTAAATATCTCTTTAACAAACTACATATTTAGCTAGCACCAAGCTAGCTAAATATTAGCTATATTGACCTCTGGTTCTAGCCAAATATTTAGTTTATTTAGCTTGGTGCTAGACAAATATTTCATTTGCAAATTAAAATATCTAATTTGTTAAATAAATATTTAGCTCCAAACTAAATGTCTAACAAAGTAAATATTTTGTTTTTAAATAAATAATTAGCTCCATAATAATTATTTATTTAACAAGCTAAATATGTGATTTACAAATTAAATATTTAGCTTTAACCAGAGGTCCATGTTTAGCTAGGTGCTAGCTAAATATGAAATTTGAAAATCAAATATTTATTTTGTTAAATATTAAGATTGGAGCTTTTTATTTATTTAACAACCAAAATATTTAAATGCAAACTAAATCTTTAGCTCCAAACTAAATGTTTATTTTACAAACCAATTATTTAGCTTGGAAAGTAAATATTTAGTTAAAATAATAAATATTTAGCTTGACAAATCTTTGAACGTAAAATCTAAATATTTAGTTCTGAACTTTTAGTGAAAAAAAAGACAATTTTTTACTAAAAAAATGATGAATAATCATAAAAATTGCTCCTAATTGTTGACTGCTAGACTTTAAACAGCACCTGATACTAGCGCCTCTATCGGCTAAAAGTTCCACATTGTTGCTTTAGCTAAAGCAAATAAAAACAGTTTATAACCAGAGTGGAAACAGGCCTCTAATCCAGCTAAACAGTTAAACCATTAAAAAACCTTGATGCAAACATCTTATAACAGCCACGACTTTGGAGAACTGAAGATTTGGTTCCTGCAGGCACAGTTCGTTTCTTAGTGGAGCATCAAGTCCTCTCTGTACCAATGATGGTCTGCACTGCAAAATCTATCTAGAAATAAGTAAAAATTTGTTAAATTAAGTCTATTTACCCTTAATTTGAGCAGATAAATGAGATAGTTTGCCAATGGAATGAGTAATTTTACTCTTAAAATAAGATAATTAGATAATATGCACTTGAAATAAGACAATACAGTTGTTTTTTCTTATTTTAAGTGTAAATTGTCTTGTTCCATTGGAAAAATGTCTCTTTTACCTCCTCAATCCAAGAACAAATGCACTTATTTTAAGAAAAAATGACTTATCTAGATTTATATTTCTTGCAATGAGAACAGCCAGATTTTGGTCCAAACTGGTTCTTCAACAGAACTTTGGTCCCAAACGCAGCAGCAGGAAAAGGAAAAAGGGGTCTGAAGATCTGTGGGATTAAGATGCTGTGCTGGGACCTTCAGAGACATGCAGGTCCAAATATCTGCAGACCTTCTTCCTATGAAGCTTTGCTCCAGTCAGACCCAAATGATTAACAGGACTTTCTGGTAGTCCCACCAACATGGTGTACTGGTGTGGGACCAGTCAGAACCATTAGGTTGGCGTCATAGCTCCTTTAGATGCAGGTTTGCTCTGGATTTCTCAGTGATTTCTACTGATGTGACTATCAGTGACTATCAGAGCCATAAAGAGCTGATCCGTCACGGAGGTTCTGATTGGATCATCATGGCCTGTGATTCAGGTAGCAGAATAGCGTGTTTGAAGCCGGGCCCCGGGGCCTCCTGGATGCGGAGCTGTCAGAGTTCACACCTTTCCCCACGTCGACCAATACTTCACACCTCAAGGCAAAGGCGGCGCCATGAGTCATGGTCCAATTTGTAGCAGTCATTGAGAGAACAAAGCAGCCGACCCCAGGCTGAAATAACTCCATGCTAACTGCAGCGCTGCAGGGACTGATACCGAGGTTCATAACCTGCATTCTTCATCAGGTCCGAGGTGAAGGAGATATAGAGAGGAACCAGGATGGTACCTGGATGGGTTCCAGGATGGTACCTGGATGGGTTCCAGGTGGGTCTGTGGTCCATCGGTGACTGAAGGGTCTAACTGGTGGTCTGATGGGAGTTTATTAGGCCGAACATCACCGCAGTGGATGGAGGGAAGGTCCGGTCCCCGCACTGACCTGTGGCTCCGATGAGGAACTTTCCCACATGTCTTCTGGCTCAGTAACATTCCACAGCGCAGGGGAAGATGACCCTCTCAGCCATCACAGATTATAAATCTTGGCTCTCTATAGATTCCCACCCTGCGCCCTGTCACGCACCACACCTGCAGCGGTGGGACCAGTATGAGCCCAGCGTCACGTCCCCAGTTCCTCCTCCTCCTGCATCTCCAGCGAGCATCAATATAAACCCAGACGGCGGCCCACAGACGGCGACGACTCCGACCGCTGAGGAGACGCCTGAACGCATCGCAGACACCGGCCTTCCTCGTCCTCATCCTCCATCTGAGCTGCAGACGGTGAGACGGGCTCTGTTCCTGCTGGTTTCCATGACAACGGCAATGCTTTCCAAGCTTAGAGTTAATTTCTTAGATCAGGCATCCCCAAAGTGGATCCTGATGGCCGCTGTCCTGCAGGTTATAGAGGTTTCTCTGCTTCAGCACAGCTGATTATGATGATTGAAGCTCAGCAAAAGTCTGTTAATCAGCTTTAATTAAAATCAGCTGTTTTAATTGAAAAAGTTAGATCTTAACCTCTCCTCCAGAGATGTTTGTTCTCGTTCTGATTTAGTTTCATATTTTTCCAACATTTGAATCTTTTTTATTCTGAAATCAGGCGTTCAGAGAGACCTAAATTATAAACGTTTATCAGAGATTATAAATAATCTAAAATGTTTCTTATAACAAACGTGAGTGCGACTGACAGCTGGTTCATAGGAAGGCTCAAAAGTATTCAAACCACGGTCAGATTAGAAATGTTAGCTCCTTATCAGATAGATGCTAAGCTTTTAAAACTTTTCTCTGTTGGAAAGGAATTAAATCCTCCAGTTCGCTGCTAAACTGCAGCTTATTCTGGAACTTTCTAGAAGGTCTGAAGCTACAATACTTTAAAACCTAAATCTGCAGGAGAATGGAAATTATTGTATTTGTTAGATTAGAAAAAGCTTCATCTGCTGATTTTTTTTCTCATAGTTACACTTTTATTCCAGAGTAGTTCCATAGATTAAATAAATTAACAAAATAAAAATAGTTCTTCATGAATAACAAGCAGCACAGAGTTAACATTCTGCCTCATTTGGTGTTTTATATTTAAAATATTATGAAAACTATTTTTAAGGTCCGCTAACAGCTGAACTAACCCAGCAGGACTGCTTTCAACACTACATCACATTAAACCACTAAAAAAATTATGTTTTTGGCATTTATTTAATCATATTTAGTTACTTTAACACAATTGTTTTATTTTCAACTCTGCAAACAGGAAACAATTGTGTTAAAGTAAATAAATATAAATATTTTTTTTGTGTAATTATGGAACTAAACAGGTTTTAAGTTGAACTTTAGGCGTCTAAAGAAAATGCCTAAATATGTTTTTTTTTTTTTATGTGAGCAAACAGGCTGTAAACAAACACATTCCTGTAGTATATTATAATTTTTATTGCATCAATGTTGTTAGAGACTCTAAAAATTAAATTTTTCTTATTTCTTTTTTATTCCAACTAGATTTTTAGGTCCTTATTTATTATTTTTTTTCTCATTTGCCCGTCAGGGCTTCTATAGAAATGTAAATAAAATAGAAACATCGGTTTTCAGATCAGTTAGAGAACATTCCTGCATTTTAGCAATTTTTTTTTTTTGGTATGTATTTAAAGGATTATACTTGATAATTAATAAGAATAATAAGTAGACAGAAAATATGATTTTTTTCCAGAAACACACTCTGAACAGTGATTTTCTTTTTTTTTTTTTTTATCCATAAGATGTTGCCCTCTGTTATGCTGAAGATGACCTCCCCTCTCACACAATTTAAATATGAACAAAAAGGGACATTTTAAACATATTCTTCATGCTTTCATATTTCTTATTCATGAATGCCCTAAAATGAGGAGTTTATTGGACAGATAAATTCAACTGAATATGATTTTTACCTGTATGGAGACACGTTTTGGTCAATATGCTGCAGTCAGTGTCTGATGATGAATGTATTCTCTGCCACAGTGAAAAAGTATCAGAGGAAACACGACCGCTCTGGGCTTCCATACAGACCTCTGATGTAGCTCTAAATATTCCTGAAGGGTTTTCAAATGGTTTCCATGGACAATTCCTTGTCAATGTTCCTTTGGGCAAGGCACTTGACCTCAAGTTGACCCCTTCATGTGGCTATTTCCTTTAGTGTTTGCTGTGCTTAGAGAAGCTATAAATCAATGAGATACAGCAGGTGATGATGATGATGATGATGATGATGATGATGATGATGATGATGATGATAATGATGATGATGATGATGATGATGATGATGAAGCAGCCTTGATCAGGTGAGGAACTGATGAAACATTTAGATTTCTGTTAAAATGTTGGATTTGTTCAAAGGGCTACGGAAAGCTGTATTATCATTTCATTGTTTCCAGGAGGAGAAACTTCCTCAGTTTCCTGTTCTGAACAACCCTCCTCTGTTTCTGCTTTCTTTGCCTCCCTAACAGCTGATTGGCCGACTCCATCATGCTCCGCCCCCTGCTCTACCTGGTCGCCCTCATCACCCTCGCAGGTAAAGTCCCATAGCTGTCCACAGGAAACCCAAAAGCTCATTCAAACAGAACCTGGTGTCCATCCACCAATCAGGAAGCAGCTCTCAGCTCCTTCTCTTTCCTCCGTCTCTTCAGGTGCTAAGCAGACCTTGACGGCCTCCACAGAGTTGGACATCAGCTCCTGTCCCATCACCATATATGGGCAGAGATACGAACAGGCCTTTGTGAGTGGGCTGGACCCAGATCATCTGCAGAACATCTGCAGAACGTTTGCAGCAGTTTTCTTTTCTTCTCTGATTCCAGGTGAACTACACCTCTCAGAACCTGGTTATCTGCTTCAAGGGCTTTTACGGCTCTGGAACCAAAGATGACTGCATCCTTGGACCTCTTCCTGACTCCAAGAATGCAGAATTCGACCAGTTCCAGAGGATTCCCCTTTTAGAAACCATTGTGCAGTACAACGTCCCGACCATCAAGACCAGAATGGACTGCTACCTTTCTATCTCCTACCAACACAAAGGAGGCTATGTGAGTTCTGCTCCGTCGCTCGATAACCGGGTCATGTCAGAACCGACCGCAAACAACATTCCTCTTCCTGTGTGTATCTTCTGCTCGCAGACCACCCTGGCGCTGATTAAGTTCGGACCTCTTTCGGTTCTTTATGTGTACACTCCTGTTGAGGGCACCGTGGTGAGTTCATGTTCTGATACGTTCAAGGACAGTGGGAATCAGGCTCAGTAGATGATGATGGTGGATCCATGTCATGATTCTAGCCTCTACTCACCAGCTAAAAACACACATGGCCCAGCAGGCTGTTAAGTAGGTCTTTCTGTATCTATATCTCTCTGGTGGTCTCCTGTCCAGGTGGTGGACATTCAGGTGGACGGAACGACAGCAGACCAGGTGACAGTCACCAACACCCCGTCCAGCAGACAGACTCGTGGGTATCTGGACATCAGCGGCTGCAGACACTCAGGTTGGTGGATGTTTCTGTGGAACAGAACCATCTTTGGACTAGTTGGGTCTGAACAGTCTGGTTCCTGTCCTCAGGTGCTGTGTATAAACCTGCCACAGAGGTGAACTCACCTGAAACCTGCTTCAGCCTCACCTGTGATGAAGATCTGGTCCTCAAAACCTCATCCTGTGGTCCTATGGACCGTTGCCTTGGAAACGGCAGGTAATAGCCAACGGGAAGGAAAAATGGAAGGCTTTTAATTTGAAATAGTGGGGAGTGATTGTAAGAATTCCAAAAAGTTAAAGACAGAAAACAATTCAGTGGACTTTGTTTTCCAAGTTTGAAGACGTTACGCTTCCCATCCAGGAAGCTTTCTCAATTCAAACATCTTCAAACTTGGAAAACAAAGTCCAGTGGATGTTTTTTAAGTTTAACTTTTTGGAATGACTATGACCTGGATGACTGAGAATCTCAACCACATATTGTGAGTATTGAAAAATCAAAAATCCTCATACAGGTATTGACAGATCTTTGTGTCCTCTAGCGCCACCTTAAGGTCAGGTTGGCTCAAAGTCTTCTAACTCCTGTGCTCCTCTGTGCCTCTATCAGCTGCATCCCAGCGGCCCTGTATGACTCCATATTCAATCCCAAACTGGACTTGGTGTGCACTGTGACGGGACCCGCCCTCATAGACTTCCACGGCCTCCTGACCTCTGTGAGGGATCGCTGTACCTACTCTCTACTGTCCCTCCCTTCAGCCCCAGACTTCCAGGTTCTGGCCAACTTCCAGGAACGGCACCGAAAAGACGTGAGCTTCCTGGACAGCGTGACGCTGCGGCTGGATGGGCCGGGTGTCCAAATCCACCTGAAACAAGGCGGAAGAGTTCAGGTAGGTCCGAGTTTGACCCAGAATCTTAGAGGTCTTTGTGGTTCTGATCCATGTTTCTACGACTGTTTCAGGTGAATGATGCGCCACTGAGCCTCAGCACCTCGGCTCAGATGGTTCATGGGGTGGAGCTTTCCAAGGACCTCACCGGAGTCACTGCCCGGGTCTCTGTGTCCAATTTCACCATCTATGTCTTCTTTGATGGCTACACCATGCAGATCCACCTGCAAGGTTCACATAACACAACCAGACCAGTTTACCGTGGATCTAACTTCCCCTGCTGATGATGTCAGTTTGAATATGTTCTGTCTTTAAACCATCCAGGACCCGTTGGGTCGGCTTTGCACGGTCTCTGTGAAAACTCCAGCAGATCTTTGGCAGACCTCAGGGTGCCTGAGTCAAACCCCGACAGGTAGGGAATTCTCTGTCCCTGCTTCATATCTGCAAACCCAGTCCTGACCTGGCCTTGTGTCGCCCCCTAGCTGCCTGATTCAGTACAACGACACAGAAGAGTCTATGATCAACTGCACCAAAATGACGGAACAGTAAGCAGAATCAACTGCAAACATCAGGCTGTTTGCTCGCTCTGAGGTCCTGCAGAGGATTCATGACTTCTCTTTCCTCGCCAGCTGTAACCTTCTGAAAAAGGAGCCCTTTGCTTCCTGTGACATCAACCCAGAGCCGTACATAACAGCCTGCACTACCACTCTGTGCAGCTACCCTGACCGAGATGCCCTCAAGTGTCAGTTCCTGGAGGCCTATGCCAGAACCTGCAAACTGCAGCGCAATGCCACCCTGGTCGACTGGAGGTCCAAGGCTAAGTGCTGTAAGACCTTGTTCCCCTAACCACCCCAACCTTTAAAGAAACCATCACCGGGTCTAATGGTGTCCATGTTCATCTGCAGTGTACCCTCAAGCCTTCTGTCAGGACAGAACCTGCAGTGACCACGAGTTCTGTGGAGAGAAGTCTGTGGGTGGTGACAATCGCTGCTTTTGTCGAGCCATTTTCGCCTCTAAGTACAGGGATCAAAATGCTTTGGGTATGACATCAGAGACAGCAACCCCATGGGTCAGAAATACTGGAGAAAAACTTCTTACTTATATCTTTATACCCCTCAGGTGATCCAACAGTCTGCAACCAGACCTCTGGTTCCCTGACTTTGGTCAACTGCCTCCTGGAGGATGAAGGCCTTGACTACATTGCCCTGCACCTCAAAGACCCGACCTGCAGGGGCCACATGGACGAGGAGACCCACCTGGTGACGTTTAGCTTCAGCGATATCAACCGTTGTGGGACGGAGGTCATGGTAGGTTTTGGCCTCCATCTTTAGTGCTCATCTGGGTTGACATCTTTCTTCAAGCTTGGTGTTAGCTCTGAGGCATCCAAACATTTCATCCTGCAGAGCAGCAACAACCAGATAATCTACCAGAACACCATAAGCAACCACAACAGCTCCTCCAGCATCATCACCAGGAAAGACCAGGTCTTCATTGACTTCTCCTGCGTCTACATGAAGGAGGCCATGAAGGCTTTTAAAGTCAGAAGCAGGTGTGTTACGGACTGTGGAACCAATGACGCCAGGTGTGTATCCGCTAAAGAAGAAGATTTACAAACTTTCGAAGTCAAAGATGTTGATTATTGTCTCTGTGTCTGATCTTCAGCTCTATAATCAAAGTCAGTACCTCAGGGGTTTGGAATTACACTCTGACCATGAAGGCCTACACCGACGCTGCGCGCACAAGGCCGGTGGACTCCAACACAGAAGTCCGGCTTGATGAGAAGATCTGGGTGGAGCTGAAGACTGAGGGGTTGGATGGAGACCTGATCTCCGTGGTGACTGAATCCTGCTGGGCAACCAATCAGGAATCAGAGACAGGAAGCCTGAGATATGACCTGATCAAGAACGGGTAAGAACCAATCAGGAGACTGTTTCCCAAAACACATCAGGCCATTGTCAGTCTATTGTTTTCGTTAAGAACCAAAAGAGAAAGGATGGTTAAAGTCAACCAGCCGCTGTTTCTATTTGAAGCTTCCAAGAAGGTCAGTTCTATTACTGTAGCAGCTAGTTTACCTATCTGGGGTCAGAGGACTTTGTAACTCGATTGTAGAATGTAGCATCAAGAGACTTGAAGGGTCTTACCACTGGACTTCAGCCATGGGTAGTTTTTGTTTTGTTTTTACAAGTTCTTATGCTTTATAATTAAAAGAATCATGCAACAAGTTCGTTCCAAGTTAACCACGTAACAGTAACAAAATCCCTCCTTTGGTTCCATCATAGTTTTTAAAAGCTTGCCAGTTTGGAGGGTGCTAAAACAGTTGTATTTTCTCTTTGATGATCAGCTGTGCCAATCCCGCTGACCCGACTGTAACGGTGGAAGGAAACGGAGAAGGAACCTCCAGCTACTTCTCCTTCAACATGTTCCAGTTCTCCGGGAAGTCCGGGAACATCTACCTGCACTGCAAGTTGCAGCTGTGCATCAAACAAGGGAACAGCTGCATCCCGGTAAGGAGGACATTTTGATTATACCTTAAACCAAACAGTCTGCATCTAGGTCTGGCTGAAAGGTGTACCACAGCTCTCCAGAGTCAGATCAACATGTTTCTGTTTTGGTGCATTAAACAGACTTTTATTCTATTAAACTGCAAGGACAGTTTCTTGGGTCAAGAGATGACACCTCCCTGAAAACCAGACATCATTAAGATGTTTGTTTTTAGGCTACATCTGGGCTGTCTGTCATAGTCTCAATTTTGTCCACAAATAGTTGTTGAAAATTGGGCTCTTTGGTGGGTCTGATCTTGTCACACCTTAGCCCCATAACGAACGTTGAAAAGACGTTGCAAATCCAGGTTTCAACGTTTTTCAACTATCTGAAAATTATGGCTTTTCACTTTTCACTTTTCAACCAAATGTAGACGTTGTTTGGGCGTCAATCATGTCGTCTTTACAACCAATTTTTGATTGGCTTACTGGGAATTATCTGTGTGTGTGTGTTAACGAAGCAGATGAAGTTAAACAAGGCAGTGAAATAAATGGTATCGACCAATTAGAGACAACAGAGACCACTGATGGTCTGGAGTGCAGACGTCCAATAATGATCTCTGTAAACATTTCATGGGTGAGGGGGCGTGAGGAGCACCACCATTGTCTTTTAAATAAATCTGGATTTGGATCCATCTAAGCTTAAAGCAGCATCGTTCAGTTTAATCTCCAAGTGTTGCTCTCTGAGCCATTTGCCTCTAAACATGGACCATCGCCCGGGGTGTATATTGCATGAAAATAAAGCTAGGAGGTAAAACTAGTCACTCTTTCTACACTAAGTTAAAGGTTATTCATTGGCTAGCTTTACCACCGTCTTCTACCCCATCATCATCATCATCATCATCATCATCATCATTCTAAGGTGTAAAGCCCATTAGATCACAGAGTGGGAGTGGAAACCTATTGGTTTGGTCATAGGGCTTGGAATCCTGAGGTTTTGAGTTTAAAACCCACTGGACCTCTGAGCAAGACCCTTAACCCTAACCTGACTCCTCCAGATGGATTTGCTCCGCATATCCATCTGGAAACCTTCCGTTGAAGTAATTTTGGGAAGGGGCGAAAATACTGGTTAGCTGATTGGCCTATGTTGGTGATAGACGGGCCAAATAAACCAATCAGATCAACGAAGCATATGACGTACTAACAGAGCGACGACGAAGAGGAGCCAATTGATAGATCAAACTCTTGCCGAAACCAGTCGGGAGAAGAGCAAAAACATCTTTTCCTCTGAGAAAAGCCTCCAGAGCAGTGTTTTGCTCTTCTTTCAGTGAAGAAATACTCTGTAATTCCGATAAAACTTGCTGGATAGCCACGCTAACGCTAGTTTCATCGGTTGAGGCCGCCATGTTCTTTAGACTGAACTGTCGCGCTTCTCGTTGCGTCACACCTCAACCCGCCTCAAAGCCAACGCTGATTGGACGTTCGTTTGGTGAACGGCTCCAAATTTTCTTTAACGGAGAGTCTCCAGACTGATCTGCGAGTGAAACCTTGAAAGCTCGCGAGATCAGGATGGTCTCAGGAGGCTACCTTAACCCCTAATTGCTCCCTGGGCGCCCCACAATGGCAGCCCACTACTCCTCAAGGGGATGGGTCAGAGAGTTGCAGAGAGTTAATTTCTCCATTGTGAGATAAAATAAGTTCAATTTATTTATTTTGTAGGTGTCAAATACCAAAGTACAAATACTTCGAGTAATTATCTTTATACAACTTTTTCCTTCTACTCCTTTTATTTACGCTCATATTTTCTTTATAGCCTTTTGGTTAATAAAACAACTAAATCTAAAATATTAGTTTCATTTAGACAATTAATTTGTTTGTGGTTGGACTTGGTGCTGCCCCAACTTGTTGCTCACCACATACCAAAATGAATGGTTTTCCAAGATGATGCAAAGTTAAATGTGACGCTGTTACCATTAGAAAACAGAAAATGAAGTCTAAGGAAGTTATCGTCCAGAATTGTAGAAAAATGTTCCTTTAATAGGGTAGAGCAGTAAAGATTCTGTCTTTAACATTTTTACTGCATTACTTTGGCTTTTATACTTTAAGTAGTTTTAAAAATAGTACTTTTACACTTTTACTTGAGAAAAAAGCTTAATATTTTAACTTCTACAAAAGCTTTTTAAACAGTGGGATTTATACTTTTACTGAAGGTATAAACAATAACACTTTTTACACCTGTTTATTATACCTAAATAGTATAAAACTACCATCGGTAGTAAAACAAAATCTGTAACAACCATTAACAAAATTAAAGCTCTGTTTTAAATTTCATAAATAAGATCAGACAATGTTCTAAATATATAAACTTTTTTGTATTTGAAAATATGCCTTCAACAAATTACAGCATCCTGTGTTTTCCCAGACTTTCTAACCCCCTCTGTGGACAGAATGGAGAAGGTGGAAGTAATACCACAGTACATGTAATCCCTCCTGCTACCAGTGGGGGCAGCATCTCATGTGCTTTCAGTTGTATTCAGAAACCTTTTCCATAATATGGCGGACTGATAACCTGAAGAGTCCGATGCTATCGTGTCTCTGAAAGGTTCTGCCTAACGAGTCTCGGCTCTGACCCATAGATGGTTCCTTTCATCTCTTCTTCTGTTTAAACTTTTTGTCTCCATCTGTGTTGATTTTGCAGAAGTGTAATGGAGCTCGAACTCGAAGGTCCATCAGGTCCAGATATGAAGCCTCCGCTCTCATCAGCATGGTTTGGACCAACTAGGTCAGACGGCGGTTCTGTTACATCAACATCTCTCTGGTTGTTATGGTGGAGCAGAGAGAGGAAACAGCCTCTCTGGTTGCTTTGTCTCCTCAGGTTGGTTCCCTGTGAGATGAAGCCAGTGGAGGCACCAGAACTCCAGGATCCTCTTTGGTTCTGATGTTTAGAGATGTTTGCCTGCTAAGTCGTCCCCGATAGATGATGAGGAGTTCACAGCAGCATGGTGGAGGTCATCTCTTTATTTGAACGGAACCGTTTTGGATCAGATCGTATTCTGTGTTCAGCTTTTAAAGTCTTTAGAATATCTTAGTTTTATTGGAAGGGGAAAACATTAGGGAACGTTCTACTAACGGGTAATTAAAGGAGACAGGAAACAGTTTTATTGGTGTGGGGCTGAATTATGAAGGATTCATGGTGTGATGATGGATTTCTGATTAATGCATGTTGAGATGATAATGAAATAAAAAAATTTTATTTTTGGATCATCTGATTTTAGTGTCTTTTCTTACAAGTTCTTTTAAAATTTCCAATTTAATCAAAGCAAAAGTGACTGAAGCTGAGGTAGCATCTTATGAAAAATGTATTAAGCTTTGACATCAAGTTAAATAAAGAAGATAGATAGTAATTCCCTGCATTTCATTAACTTCCTTTGCAAAGAGAGAATAAGACGATCATAGAAGCCCTTCAGGCCGACGATCTGATTAGATAACGTTATCTCTCACTAAGTTAAACTCTGCAGAAAGGCTGTGAATGTCTCCACATACAGTTAATCTAATTACAGACAGCAGAGGAAAATAATAAAATGTTATGAATAAACCCTGATAAAAAGTCTAGCTTGTTATGAGAATAAACACTCTCTAATAGTAAATCAAAAACTCCTCTTGCAGGTGAGAAAGGCTTGAGTAAAAACTTTTATTAGGTGAGTGCATGCAAAATCAGCGCTCAAAAATCAATAAGTGTGACGGGAAAACATGGCAAACATAGAAAGTAGCAGGTCAAAGTTCATCAATACAGTAGTTCCCATTGATTTAGCTTATAAAGCGGGGAGAATGGCGCTAGAAGCTGGAAGATTGTTTGAGCTAAAATGGCTGCTCCCAGACTCATTAATCGTGACGAAAATGATTATATTTATTTTTTTGTGATAAACGCTAAATTCATTAAATCACTGTATTGTTTTAAGGTATAAATAATGATCCATTAATTATTCTTTGCTGAACGGACTTTTCCATGGGAGTCCAGAGTTTGGAAGGTCAACTGCAATAAAAAAAAACTTTCATCTGATATTTTTTACTGTGTTTTGGAGAATTCAGCTGTTATTCCTCCAGTGTAACACCAGAGGGAGCAGCTGAGACTGCAGCTGCCTACGAGGACAACAGAATGGAATATTAGAGGTATAACACAGATTTGAAGAAATGTTTATGGTTTAAAGAGATCATTATTGGACGTCTGCGCTCCAGACCATCAGTGGTCTCTGTTGTCTCTGATTGGTCGATGCCATTTATTTCACTGCCTTGTTTAACTTCATCTGCTTCGTTAACACACACACAGATAATTCCCAGTAAGCCAATCAAAGCTGCCCTCCCTCTCACTGTTTGTGTTATTAGAGCTGCAGTGCTGACTCAGGCGGATCAGAGGATCTAATCTGACCCTCCTCACTTTTCACTCACAGGCCGTCCTTTCTTTACATTTTCCTTCCTTTCCTGAGCTTTTCTCTTCCTGTAGGCGACCTTTACTTCTATCATTTAAGATTGTTTCAGCTTGAATTACAAAAAGTCTCCTGGTCCAGATGGCATCAGAAGGAATGAGTCATGATAAGCCCGAAGAATCACAATGTGACAATTTGTAGAACAACATACCTGGTTTCAGTGCCTAAGAATGTTTATCCCATCACATAAGGGTATAGACCCTTTGCCCTGACCTCCCACATTATGAACCCCAAACACCAGACGTCATTCAGACGTTGCTTTGATGGCTAAATCTGGTCAGTCTGAGTCTAGATTTAGTCCAGAAATACTTGTTGAGAGCTGGACTGTGTTTGGTAGGTCAGATTTCATCCAGCCATAGTCCAATAAACTTGGTTTTCAATGACTTTTCATCGATCTGAAAATCACGGCTTTTTACCTTTCACTTTTCAACCATACGTAGGCCTTCTGACCACCATAAGTGGGCAATTCATGTGTAGTGTCTTGCTCAAGGACACAACGACTGAGACAAACAGAACTGGCAACCCTTTGATTGTGGAACTAACTCCTGTATCTGACAATACTGCCAATCAATCACCATCAAGCCTGGACTGCTGAGGCAAAATATGGATAGAATGAATGTCAACATGTCCTTCATCACCAGGATCACTGCCTGACAGATTGTGAAGTTGCAGAACAGTGTAATGGCGGACCTCCTCAGGAACCTGTACTATGTGCCTTGTCTTTACCAACGCTATGGACTTTAGGCATTGCTCCAGATCTAGTTGTCTTCAAATATAATCTGATGACACAGCAATAGCGGGGTCAATGAAGGATATAAAGAGTAGTTGTTAGACAACTTTTTGAGGTGAACCAATGATAGCTAAACATGGAAAAGACCAAGGAAATGGAGGTCGGGTCAACTCCAGTAGAAGATGCCCATCTCAGGGACAGCTGTGGAGCCGGTTACACCAGGAAGTGGCCTCACCGTAGGACCCAAAACTGCAAGCTGCAGTGGGCTACGAAAATAGTGATAAGCAGAATGCACTTTCTCAGCATGTTTAGGGCCTGTTGTCTCTGCTGTAGAGTGTTTTATTAATCAGGAGTGGCTAGGTCCATCTTCTTTGGAGTGCTTTGGTACTTGAGCTAAGGTAAGGGACTCAGACAGACAGAACAAACTCATAGATATAGAGGGAGGTTGTATTACCAGGCTGACTCCATGTGTCAAACTTAAGGTAGCTCACAGAACCATACCTGCTGTATAGCTATATTTAATTTATCAATCTAAAGCGGTTTCTGTATGTTTGCAGTATCTTTAAGTGGTTCTGTATTTTTGTTGCTGTGTGTTATAGTGGGACAAATGAACCTTTCCTTTTGAGATTAATAAAGTTTAGCTGAGTTCTTCGGCTCTTGATCAGTTTCCCTATGATGACAGTCTGGTAATGTAGTCTGGTTGTGCAGCTTCATTCCCAGGGTCCAGGCTGAGTCCATGGGCCTCCTCAGCGTGTGGGACAGACGTATCATCCCTCCTATAATCCCTTTATCCTTGTCAGGGTGACAGAGGAGAATCCCTGCAGGAAACACTCCTTCTCTCCTTCCTCCCTTCCATCCCTCTTCTTTCCTCCAGTTTTCTCCTCTTTTCTTGTCTCCCCAAAGGATTTCCTGAATCCAGTCGTGTTTATGAGACTCTGCTTGGGGAGTTAGCCATCGGTTTCCATGGTGATGTGTTTGGACGGCAGTCTGGGGATCTAGGCCAAACGACCCGGGATTATCAGCTGACAGGTAAGCAGATAATGGATCCATTACAGACATATCTATGTCCATGAAATTTATGAAGTTTATACAGACTTTTGCTCACACAGAGAACTCTGAACTAAAGACTTAAAAGTCTCCAGCCTGATTTTACAGGCGGCTATGAATGTAGCATGAAGGACATGTTGGGATCAGCCACTCTGTACAGACCTGCTTGTTTTTAGAAGACAGAGGCTCCTAATTGACTCTAAAACATTTTAGCAGTAATAACCATCCGATTAGCAGTCAGATAAATAACCTCCTTTCTATGGGTTTGAACCTGCAGTCTGAGGGAAGAACTGTTGGCTTCAGGTGGGAGCAGAATGAGCCAAATCTATGATGAGCATCCCAGGTTTATCTTCTAGTCTCCCTGAACCCACAGGAGTCTGTTGGTGTAAACGATAAAGCTCATTCATCCAGCTCAAAATGGTAGATTAATACTTTGGCAACAAAATTGGACCCAAACCATGAAATGATCAAGAGGCAGTTTTTGTTGAGTCTGTTTGATGGGTTGAGGCATCTAACATCTGTTTTAGGATGGTTGTCTAGACTCAGGTCTGGACTTTGACTAGACCCTCCTAACCCATGAATCTGCTCTGGTCTAACCCATCCATAGTGGCTGGATGTTCAGGGAGGGTCTCCTGCTGGAAGGTGAACCTCACCCCCCACAGTCTCAGCTCCTCTGAAGCCTCTAACAGGTTTTCATTCTGGACTGTCCTGGTTTTAGCTTCATTCATCTATCATTTTTCTCTCATTTACTGACCACCCTCCCTCAGCATGATGCTGCCACCACCATGTATCACTGTGAGGATGGTGGGTCCAGGGTAACAAACATCTAGAATGAAGACCAAACCATCCAGACGTGGTCTATCGTATCTTGGCTCAATGCTTTGTTGCAAACTGTAGAAAGACCTTCTCAGGAATCTCTCCTTCTCACTGATAAATATCTAAATATATCTCATAGCTGTCCTGTGGACATATCCTCTCACTTGAGCAGTCGATCTCTGCAGCTGCTCCAGAGTCGCCATGGTCATCTTCTTCTCTGATATGTTCTCCTTTCCCAACCTGTCAGCCCACTAGGTCATCCATATTTTGGTAGCCCTGCAGGTGGTCCATCCTCCCATGTTAAGATGATGTACTGAACAGACCTCTGAGAGACGTTCAAACCTTGGGAATTGGTCTAGAACCTAACCCCGCCTTAAATTAAACAAAAAAACTTCGCCCTTAACCCGTCTGCTGGGTTCCTTTGTCTCCATGATGCTAGTTGTTCTCTTATGTTCTCTACAGGACCTGTCAGATCAGAAACAGAACAGCTGCATTTTTACTGATGTATATTCCCAGTGATCCATGGGTGTACGAAGGGCTTTAAAGGAGAACACTGAACACCTCCTGTTTCTGGAAGATGTAATATGACTTTTCCAATTGGTTTCTTTGGTTTTAGCATGTTTGGTAAATGGCTTGTACTTATATTGAACT